ATAATTTAAAGAAGAAACCAATCCGATGTATAGTTGACATTTGAGGCTTAATTCTATAGAAAAGCACTAAAAGTTTTTCAGTTAAGTGTTTTCAGCTTGTTTATTTTCATATAAAAATACGGCATGCAGTTGCATCAAACAATAGTATAAAAATCATTCAATGTAAATTGTGATAATCGCAATTACAATTTCAAGGGAATAATCGACAATTATGATTTTTGTCATAATCGTGCAGCCCTATGACTGATAATAAAATATGTGATGCATTTAACAAAAGAGAAGAATTTCCTATTCATTAGCAATAGCCCCGTTTCTAAAATAGCATACTAGTGTAAGTGTACAGAAAAACTCAGTGTAAACTTGTTTTTTTTACATAGTATATGAAAAAGTATTCATTATAAAATGATCAAAAACATTTCAAACAGTACTGCCATTCTAATTCAAAGAAAAAAAAAAGGAGTGTGAAAAAGCGACAATCTACAAAAATTCTGAATTTGACTCATTTTGCCATTGCAAGGAAAAGTCCTATGCTGCATTACTGTCACTTATCACACTTATTACATTGCATGTTTAATGCAGTGGAATTCTGATATTGACTTGGAAATAAAACCTTTATTAGGCATTTCTTTAAATCCAAGTTTGAGTAAAGCTTATTTAACATTTGGCAATCCAATCCAGTCGAGAAAACCAAATGTAAAAAGTATGTATTACTATTATTCATTATATTTATTACTGATTAAAATAAAATATTAATTAAAATTAATTAAAACATAAATACATTCAAAAATGTAATAAAATAGTTTATTTCACACAGTGCAGTCAGCACATTATGCAGCATCATGTTTTCTGTGCATACAAAAAGTTTATATAATGTGTACAGTACATACTGCAGAATTTGCTATACGCTATTTGGGGGGCGTGTGGGGTTGAGCTTAAACTAATTAGCTGCAGCCATAGCTTTCAAAACAGCCATAACAAGCAGCGCAAGGCCTGCATGTGTTTTACGGAATCTCATTTTTTGATCTCATTATCAACCCATATAAATGATGACTGCATGACAGAATCTGGCCCCTGAACAACCTGTGCGTATGTGAGATACAGAGAGAGAGAGAAACAAGAACGAGAGAGGGTGCGAAAGCGACCAGGCTCTCCTCAGGGAAAACATTTCCATTTTGATCATGTTATCAGCGAGGAGAACAAGGGCCAGCGTACAGTGTGTGCCGTCAGGTCTGCAATGTCCTGTTTGTTTGGGCCTGATGTGTGCTGCTGTGGTTTGATCAGAGATCAGAATGTGACTTACAGGCAAAGGTTAGGCTGGCCTCCCTGCTGACAATAGTCCCGAAGGAGTTGGAAGCAAGGCACTGATAGGTCCCAGCGTCCTGTTCTTTATTGAGATGGTTGATGCGAAGGTTACCTCCAGAGAGGCTGTGATGGGAGCCGGGTTTAGGGTTGAGCAGACTGCCATTTAGCTTCCACCTACAACACAAAGAAGTTCACAGTTCAGAGATTTCAATATGAACTCATACACTTCTCATCACGACCTTCCATGACCTAACTGTCATAACAAAGCTTATGTTCTAAATGTATCCGCTTATTCTCAAAAAATAAGAGCATATATGATAACATATATGAAAGTCTGGGGATAAGATTTTTTAAAAAGAAATTAATACTTTTTTTTTCAGAAGGAACACATTAAATTTATCAAAAGTGCCAGTGAAGACATGTTATAAAAGCTTTCTATTTCAAATAAATGCTGTTCTTTTGAACTTTCTATTCATCAAATAATCCTAAAAAATGTTTTCCACAAAAATATTAAGCACAACTATTTTCATTGTTGATAATAATCATAATCATAATAATACAATCTCCTTAATTAGAATGATAAAATAATCATTTGACCGAAGAGTAATGGCTGCTGAAAATTCTGATTTTTCATCATAGGATTAAATTATATTTTAAAATATATTAAAATAGAAAACAGTAAATTGTAATATTATTTCACAATATTACTTTTTTAACTGTATTTTGATTAAATAAATGCAGCCTTGGTGAGCATAAGAAACTTCTTTCAAAAACGTTACAAAAATCTTACAAACCCCAGACTTTTGAACGGTATTGTACATTATCTTTTAGTACAAACAAGACAAAGCTAATAATTTAAAGCGTTCAAGCAAGCAATAAAAAAATCACTTTGAATACTGAGTTATACATTTATACAGTGATTTTAAAAACTATTTGGACAATTAAGCTACTCTTAAAAAGTGTCATTTATATTAAAAGACACATCACAAGCACTCTTTTAATCACATTTAGCAAAAATAATTTGTTTTCATTGAAAAAAACAAAAACAAAAAAACAAATACTGTTTGTTGATTCAATGATTCAAATGTAAAAAAAAGAAAAAAATCTTCTAAAAAAATATTGCAGATCTTCAGGGTTAGAAACATTGCAGTCAATGCCAACTAATAAAGTTTAATAGGAAAACACATAGCCGGAAGCAGGGTGGAATTGGTGTTACCATTATTGTTGTGCACAACTGGGGTGTCATCAGACCAGTGGGTACAAATCTGGGCTGTTAAAACAAAACCTCCAAGTGTGATCCCACATAAAGACAGCAAGCAAACTGCACTGAGTTACTGAGATCCACAATTATTAGACTCCAGAGTAAAGCACTTAGTACACTACACTAACTCCAAAGGGATTGTCCTTGCAATTAGTGCACTGTAAAGTGTTTTGCATAAAAAGTGTCTGCTAAATGAAAAGCAACCAGCTGTAGTCCTGATAAATTCAGAAGCCTGTTTTTTTTCCCCCATACCAAGATTAATGTTCAGAATGGCACGGCTTGTGACCATCCATCTTGTTGAACACAATGTCATACAGCATCAAATGTGAACTTTATCTGTCAAGTGTATGTTCCCGTTTAGTTCCTGTTTTCCTTATTTGGTCCATCCTGTTCTCGTTGTATGAATTTGGTTCCAGCTGTGTTTGTTTAATTAGTTAATTTGCTCCCAGGTGTGTCCCATTGGTGTCTGTGTATTTATAGTGAGTCCCGTTCTGAGTTTCTTTGTCCGGAATGGTTTATGTCCATTCCTTGTGCTACGTGTGACTCCCCGTGATATAAATAAAGTCCTTGGTTTTGTACTCCTGGTCTCCTCGCTCCGTGCTCCTCACAGTAGCGACCCGTGACATTATCATGGCAGAGCACCAATCAAAACTAATATTTGCAGTGAGCACCTCCATATTCTATAGCATGCAGTGTGATTTCTACAGGAATTTACTGAGATTACTGAAGGACAGAATTCATTTAAGTTATCATCGGGTTCTCCAACCCTTCAAGCAGCCTTATTAAAACAAACAAGCTGCCAAATCAATACAAAAACTCACATATAAAGCATATTTTGAAATATCGCTTCCATTCAGCTTTAACAGTTGTAATGGAATGATGACTTCATTCGTGAGGTTATATGCGTGTGTGTGTGTTATGAGAGACCTATGTAGGGCTGCACGAATAATCAAAATAAAACTGAAATCACAATATGGGTTTATGACTTATCCAGTCATAAAGGCTGCAATGTAATTGAAAACACCAGATGATTAGCTGCGCATCATTCAGTGTCTTTTTATTATAATTTTTTTTTCTTAAATACTTTTGATTTTACTTTCCAGCAAACCTCGAGTTTTTAAAATTTCATTTCAAATCACAATTTTTATATATAAAAAAACGGATTAGATTTTCACCCAAAATCATGCAGCCCAAGATCTGTTCTATAGGATAATCTTAACTAAGTTAATAATAACTTGTGATTATCTTTTAAACAGAAATATTTTTTAAAGAACCCATAAAATGTCGAACAGATTTTGCTACTGTAATGATAATCCACTGTAGGTGAGCGTAGTGATGAATCCAAGTGCAGATTTATTTAAACAAAGTGATCCAAACAAACGAAGACTTGACTTGAACAGACTAGACTCACCGACAGCAGGATAAATACATTCATACACGACCAAGCACAAAGGCAACATGATGGCTACTTACAGTAAACAATCAGGGTCACATGACGAAGAACCAACCAATGAGGAAACAAGACACATGACTAGGACAACCAATCAGAACATGACACACAGACAAGAGTACCACATGGCAGGATCACATGACAGGGTAGGAAAAACACAAGACAGGAACATGAAACAAGGCAAAATATAAAAATAAAAGACATGAAAACCTAAACCAGAAACAAAACCCAAAACAGACCTTACAGCTACCTGTGTTGGCATACCAAAAGGCCAATTTTTTAAAAGCCGATATCCATCACTACATCAGTTGACAGACTGCATACAACCCACTTTACGTCTGTAATGTGTTGGGACACATTTTTGAGAGAAACAGGATGTTCAGAGAAAAAAAAAAAGTAGGGTATACGAGTTGATTTTATCCATCAGTAATTGACTAGATCATGAAAAGTGGTCTCTAAATCAATAGAGATTTGGTGGAGAGGAGTTGAAATGTAAAGCTTGGTGACAGCAGCTCAAAATGAAGTTTTTAGACAGAAATTTTGAAGATTACTATTTTTCCTTTGGAATAACATGCACAGATGAATCATTCACAATAAGATCAAGAACCAATTTAGAAAGTACATGGGGTCAATTTTGATTTCAAACCATTTTTGCTTTGCTAGTCTGCGATATACGCAAAGTGCCTCTGCTTTGTGCCTGACAGGCTGATCAGATTACAGGTTCAATATGGTTAGGGTTAGCAGTAAGTTTAGGGTGCCTGTCAAGAACAAAGCAAGGCACCTTCAACCAATCTCAGCTGCAGTAGACATCATTTTACTGGGCAAAAGATCCCCGTGAACAAGATAATTCGTCAATATTTTCCTGGAAAAAGATGATATTAAATCTGCTATAACATCTACACGGCTCTGTGAAATACTTGATTCTGATTGGTCAGTTGCGACATTCCGAGGTATGTTGTCCCTTGATAACAACCGGTAAAAGCTGATAACACTAGGGTTGGGTATCGTTTTTTTTTTTTTCGATACTGGTGCCAAATTGATACTTTTAAAATGGTTCCGGTGCCTAAACGGTGCCTGAACCGATACTTATAAAAAAATAAAAAAATAAAAAATCCCCCCCAAAAATGATGGATTGGCCATTAGAATAGAAATAGAATAGAGAGTGCAAATGTTAGAGGGTCAAGTTTTTTAATAAAAAAAAACAAGCAGATAAAATTAGAAGTAGCATTAGAACAGAGAGTGCTAGAGTTAGAGGGTCAAATGAAGATGAAAGAGATGTGTTTTCAGCCGTTTCTTGAAAATATTAAGGACTCAGCTGCTTGGATTGAGCTGGGCAGGTCATTCCACCAGGAGGGAACAGTTAATGTAGAAGTCCATGAAAGTTTTATCATAGGTAGAATGCAAAATGTTTCAATACAAGCATTTCAGTCAAAGGTAATTTATGCAACATTTCAATCATTTAACCCACTTGGGAATATCAACCCATGGCAACAGTTTAAAAGTAGCCCAATTCTGTGGAAAAAACGCGGACTTGGCAACCCTGCATCCAACAAGAGCTACCGGAGTCAGCTTTGACTGATCACAGGTCGAGAATAAGGAGAGATGACTGACAAGACCATGCTGGAGTATTTGCTGCTCAACAGATTCTGAACTCATTTACAAATATCTGATCTTGTAAGATGTGCTCCCTATACACAGTGTGCGTGTGATCGCGAAATCGAAAGTGAAAGTAAACAGCGCAAACGCTCATTCAAAAATATGTAAATACACCGCATCCTGAGAGCGGCTCCCTGATACGCCAAAATTATATACAATATTAGAATGTTTAAAGGAGTGGACACGAAAATCGCGGGAGCGAAACACATGTTGCGGGAGCAGGCGGCAATGGCCAGAGATTCAGCGGGAGTGGGATTAAGAAAACAGCCGAATACCGGACATTTTTAGAAATTTTAGACAATTAAGAAATCCCGGCCGGACGCATTTTTGTAGGTCCAAAAAGAGGACATGCCCGGGGAAAAGAGGACGTATGGTCACCCTAATTTATAATCTATTGCTAATCGATGTATTCTTTTTAAAGTAGCATATGGAACATATTTTCTGCCTCATTCTGTGACAAGAAGCCTCA